GGGCTGCAGGTGGGGGTGGTCGGCAAGCACCAAATCCACAACTCCAGAAATGCCAAGTAATGCTGCCAACCCTTTCCCGCCGAATGTGAAACAAGATGACTTGGCTTCCCCGAGCCTCAGTTTCCCCACCCGCTTAGACTACAGAGGAGATAATCTGCACATGCGCGGGTCGCGCTTCAAGCCAGCCAGGGCCGTCGGACCCCCTCCTCCCCGCTTACCTCGAAAGAGGACTCCAGTTCGTCCACCAAGGTACTGCTCGAGCTCCTCGGAGCCCCTGGCGCGGCCTGAAGAAGCGAAGCCTGGCCCGAGAGTCCCGGCGGGGCCTGCGGGGCCCCCGGAGGCGGCCCGGAGAACATGCCACCCAGCGAGGCTGCCATGTCTGCAATGACGGCCGAGGGCCCGCCGCGCCTGTGCAGGAGCCAGCGGGTCACGTGACAGCCTCGGTCACGTGACGGGTCGTTGCGCCAAGAGGCGTTCCAATCTTCCCTCCCTGGTCCAATCCCATCTGCTGCTTTTACCTGAAAGTTGAAGGCTTTAAGGACATTTGATCAGGTTAGGTGGCGAGGAGAAGTGATAACCAAAGCGGAGCCAGACTTCCCCCGAGAATCGCACTGTTTGCTACTCATTTTTTTGATTAAATGACTTTTCTATCTCTGGCCTCTTTGCAATATGCTAATAAGGAGCCATTCATTCATTCATTCCAGGAACACTTATTGTTTACCATGCCAATCACAAATCTAATCACCATAGATTTAACTGGGGAAAAAAGATAAGGTTTTCCTTAAATTCTTACGGGAAAAGTAATAAAAACGGCATTTAAACTATACTCATGGAGTCAAGGACTAATAACGAATCCTGCCAGTGCTAAGTATCTGGCAGCCAGATGTAGGAATGATTACTTTTGTCTGGACCAGATTGGTTAAGTGTTGGTAGTATTCTATAAAATCCCTACTTGGCATTCTGAAGGGTTGAGGAAATCTTTAATTTCACTAAATATTCATAGAATCACCTGTCTAGCTCCACTGTTTTTTTTTTTTTTAATGTAGCTTCTGAACGTGGATTGAATCTCAACATTAAGACAAAAACCGTCAGTACCGGACTGATAAGCAAATCATGGTACAGAAGACTAAAATTGTCAATGATTTCTTATTAGTTGGATCCACAATCAACACCCTTGGTACCAGCAGTCAGGATTTTAGGAAAAATATTTTACTGGGAAAGTCTGCTGTAAGGGACCTCTCAAAATTACTGAGAAACAATAATAAAAATTTAAAGACTAAGGTGTGCCTGATTCAGACCGTAGTCTTTTTACTCTCTATGCATGAGAGATTTGTCCTGAAAAGGGTTAAACCGGGTGGCTCCTTGGAGGCAAGGATTCTGAGGCTCCATCTAACATACTCTGGACATGTTGTGAGGAGAGACCGGTCCTTGGAGAGGGACATCATGCTTGGGAGGGTGGAGGGACAGCGCAGAAGAGGAAGGCCCTCTATGAGGTGGATTGATTCAGTGACTGGGATAATCGGAATGGGAGTGTCAGAGACAGTGCGATTGGCACAGAACAGAGCAGAGTTTAGGGCTGTTGTACATAGGGTCGCTATGAGTCGCAGGCGACTCGACGGCATATAACAACAACATGCATGAGAGCTGCATAGTGAATAAGGATGACAGAAAACATGATGCCTTTGAGTAAAGCACTGAATGTTCCATGGACTGCCAAAAGAACTAACATTATCTTGGGAAAAGTGCAGCCAGAGTGTTCCCTGAAGGCAAGGAGTGTGAAGCTTCATCTCACATATTGTGGACATACTGCTAGGAAAGGATGTTCCTCGGAAAGGGACATCAAACCTGGAAAGGTAAAGGGTCAGCAAAAAAGAGGAAGACCCTTAAGAGATAGATTGACATGGTGACTTCACCAATGGGCTCAAGTGTTGTCAGAGATGACACAGGATATGGCAGGGTTCAGGTCTGTTCTCAGGGTTACTGCAAGTCAAGCTCAAGTCACCAGCACCTAATCATGTTGTTAGGTGCATTGAGTTGGAACTTATAGCCGACTCTCCAGCAGCTTTTCAGAGGCTGTAAACTGCACAGCCTCCGGAAGAGATTGCCCATCTTCCTCCCACAGAACAGCCGATGGATCCCAAACACCTGCACTCGGGCTGGGGTCGTGGCACAGCTCCTTACCCACTAGGCCACATGAGCTCCCTAAAGCTAACAAATGCTGTGGAAGTACATGTTTGTGTCCATTCTAACTCCATGAACCAGTTTACTCACAGGATATCCAATTTTAAAAGACAATGGCAGGGGAGCTCTGGTGGCCTAGTGGCAAGGAGCTGCAACTACAATCCCAGAGGCACACGGTTCAAATCCACCAGATGCTCTGCCGGGGAAGGAGGGACAATCTCCTCCTGTACCAGTCAGTTCTGATTTGATGGTACACTCACAGAAAAATAATAAAATAAAAATTAAAAAAAAAAGACAATGGCAATAAACAGCTTTTCCAGTCAAATGTCTTTAGTCTCAAAAAGGAAAAAGAGGCAAAGTTCCCTTTCATGGGTAACTTGATCCACCTGATACTTCAGTGAACTAATGAGGAACTCTGCACTAAATCTGCACAAGTGGAATTGTGTCAATCCCATTAGTCACCATGGACAAGCCCTTTGAGAGTCTGGTTTCTTATTCAGGATTTCAAATAACCTGACACCTTCTCATGACACTGCCTGAAAATACTACAGCACAAGTAGGATGTAGATAAGACTCTGAGGCCCCATATTTACCAAGTCTCTGCTTTGGGATTTCCAACATGTTCTACAGGGTTTTCAGAAGCCTGTTAATTCACAAGTTCATGGCCAGTCCTTCTTGGTCTCTAATGCCAACCAGAACCTGTCTTGTTATGTACCTTTGAGTCGTGACTCATAGTGACCCTACGTACAATAGTTCTGAACTCTGGCCTATCCTGAGCCAGTCTCACCAACTCCAACACAACTAATCCCATTGCCCCAAGTACCGTATCAATCCATCCTCAGGTAGAAACCCGTCTACCATAGGTAATTTTGTTGACACCTCAAATAGTAGTGCAGCTTCCAGCATCAGAAATGCATAAGCCATCGCAGTATGACAAATGGACAAGCAAGTGGTGGGAAAATTCTAAAAAGCAAGGATGTCAGCTTCCAGGATGTCAAGCAAGTGGTGGGAAAATTCTAAAAAGCAAGGATGTCAGCTTCCAGGATGTCAAGCAAGTGGTGGGAAAATTCTAAAAAGCAAGGATGTCAGCTTAAAGACGAAGGTGTACTTGATCCAACCCTTGGTATTTTCAGTTGCTTAATAGGCATGTCAAGGCTAGACAGCGAATAAAGAAAACAGAACTAATGCCTTTGAGTTGTGGTGTTGGAAGTGAGTACTGAATATCCCGTGCTCTTACAAAAGAAATGAAACAAATCTCAGAGTGCAACTAGGGAGCTCTTGGTGTGTGTATGTGTACCATCTAACTGCATTCGACTGCCATAGGAAGAGATTGCCCCTCCTTCTCCAGCAGAGCATCTAGTGGATTCAAACCATGTGCCTTTGGGATTGCAGCGCTAAGGTATTCTTTAGAGGCAAGGATGCTGAAACTCCCTCACATACTCTGGACATGTTGTCAGAACGGGTTAGTCCTTGGAAAAAAGCTTCTTGGGAAAGGTGGAGTCAGTCAGAGACCAATTATCTTAACAAAATGGATTAACACAGTGACTACCACGGACTTGAGCATCGGAGCCTATCATGATGGGACAGCCCAGGGCAAGGTTCTGACCTGTTGATCATCGTTGTGGTTACTTGACTGCATTTGAACTGCTGTCACTTGACATAAGCTATTTAACAACAGCTTAAACTTTTCAGCTCTGTGACATGTTAGCACACTTCTCTTGTGTGGGAAGCCAAATTTCTGAATACTTATAATACACCAAACAGTCTCAGGATATGAGGGAGCCAAGCTGGAATTCACCCTGAAGCACTAAGGCAAACCTTAAGCATTTACAGGATTGGATTCTTGTATTTGCTAACCTCTCCCACCTGAGTCAAGCGTAAGGTTTTTCCATAAAAGAGCTTAGTTTCATTTGAATGCTTTGTGATTTGCTCCCTGGCAATTTTCAATAAAGGCCTGAGACTAGACCAGTGCTTCGGTTGTTTGAGAAATGTTTGCCTCCTGCTTTACATGTTTTCTTCCACATTCTTGGTGTTCTGTCATTATTAATAATTATACTTTACCCTCAGTATGCAGCACTCTTGTACCTCATTTTTCTCATCTGTAATATGGGCAGAAGGAACAGAACGTACTTCACGGGGTGACTGTGAGGGTTCTATAATGTAGTGATTAGAACGTGACTTGATAAATGGAAGCAGTGCCTGGCAGACGGCAGGTACCCTTAGCGGGTTACTGCGATTTGGCGCTGAGTGTTTGGAGACTAAGTGCTGTGTCACCATTACACAAACTGATCACCTCTAATATTAACACTGAAACAAATATCCTGATGACTCAGTTCATGTTACAAAAGGGACAGTAAGTTAATGCAAAGGATGGGCACGAACGCAGCAGGAGCCAAGCCAGACAACACAGAAAGTTGGATTTATTATTATGAGCGCATAGTGACTCTTGATTTGTTCACAGCTCGAATGCCACTTATCTGAAAAGAAAAACTGTGCTCATCACTGTAACCATATCCTCTGGAAAGGTGACGACCCAGTGTGCTGTCGGGTTTTTAAAAATTCATCATCATTTGTATTTTTATAATCCATGCTAAGCCAATCAGCGGCTTGATCTTTACAAATCTCCACATAAAATGAAAGATAAAGGAATCAGGCATAAAAATTTCATTTTGAAACACCACCCATTTTTTTTTTTAAAGATTTCTTAGCGATTCATTCACAAATGTCTTGAAGCTCAGCTGTCCGGTCCAGCGCAGGGAGGGACAGTGCAGGGAATCCAGCCAGAACCACTACGCGCGGTCCTCGCCACGACTGATCCTCAGTAGGAACTCGATCAGAGTCCGCGTGGGCCGGCCGGTCATGCCCTTCCGCAGGTAGGGGACTTCATCCTTGTTGGTCATGACCCCCGCGATGTCCAGATGAGCCCACTTGGGGTGTGTCACGAACTCTCGCAGGAAGGCTGCAGCAGTGCACGCTCCCGCAGACCTGGAGGGACAAAGGTCATTCTCTAAAGTCCACAAACAGCTCCTGAAAACTGCACTGCTGCCCTACGATTCCGCAGAGCAAGTTCTCAGGCTACGCCGTGAAAAGACAAGCTCAGGAGGCGGAGTAAAGAAGTTCATCTCCAGAACTGCTCCACGAACACTGACCATCAGATGCGGCTTTAAGGGTAAAGAATAAACCCTAAACTGGTAGTGCATTCACCCATTTTCCACATTTTCTTCACTCTTTGTTTAGAGAGAACCTCACATTTTTTAAAATATAAAATGTTGAGTCAGCTGACAAAGACCTTAAGAAGTAAAAGATACCAAAAATTAAAAATTTGGCAAGCACTACTTATTTTCAAATGGAGTTCTGGTGGCTTGGTGGTAATGAGCTGCACTATCAACCAAAGGCCCAGGGTTCAAATCCACCAGCTGCTCCATGGGAGAAAGCTGGGCAATTAACTGCCTCTGAAAACCCAGTGGAGGGTCAGTATCGCGTTGGATCTGATGTGATGATCTATAATAACAACTCATCCTCAAAGGGAAAATAGTGACAACTTTTTAAAGAGGAAATAAACCCTCAAACAAAACCGTCATGTGGGCCCCCAATGAGCACTATGAAAATGTTCGGCTGACTTCTCTTACTCACCTGTATTTTCCAATGTTATTAACATCAGCAAGCTGACAATCTACTACTTGTCTGGTATAATGTTCGAAGAGGGGCATCCTCCAGACGCGGTCCCCCGTGTCAACGCTGGCCTGAAAAGAGAGGGACATGAGGGCTGGCAGCCGGCTGAAGGAGGTTCTGGGGACGTTCATGCATGTTTCATGCATAACAGAAAGAAGCGTTCCAAGACGCTACCCCAAAACATTAAGTGCTATAAGAAGGTTCAGGAATCTTTTTTTCTGTTTAATGGAAATCTATGCTTAAGCATGGTATTAGCTTGATTTTTACAAATCTGTGTAAAATTAAAAAAAAGTGGCAAAAAAATGTCATCCTTAAATACCACTTTGTTCTGTTTAAAACATTTCCAAATTACAGAATTATAAAACTCTTACAGAAAAGATTTCCAAAATAGCCTTAGAATAGTGCCATTTATTTAATCCTTGCATTAAAGGGATTTTGATGCTGTGAGTTTACCTTTGAATTGAAAATACACCACTGGGGAATCTCATATTTAATAGTGCTCTGGGACTTGTACGCATGTTCCTAAATTATGGGGATGTTGCCCCTCCCCGTCCTCTAGGAGCCTTGGAATGTTGGAGGAAAGCAGGTTTCAGAATTGGAGGAGGAAGCGGTAATGAAGAGAACCAGTGTTACACATGGGGAAAGGCTTTGCTACAATCGCCCAGCTTCTGATACTGTTCCTGAGTCTAGCAGATACGGTTCCAACTTGAGTTTCATCGATACAGTATTTCCAACTAGGGTTTCCCATGTCAAACCGCCTGCAGAAAACCAAAGGAAAGCAAGCAAACGATTCTGGAGGCGAGTCTCAGCTAAAATCCATCAACAGATGTTGTGGATTACACACATAGTCCCTCATCTTCAGTCTAGTCACCTGGATGTGCTGGTGACCCGGTGACTTCCATCACTCAATCCTTGACTACCGACTACTCCCAAGGTACTGGAGATAGGAAGAAACAATTCCCATCTCAAACAAAAGCCTGGTCACTGACTTCCAAAAGGGCTGAAAGCGCCATGGGCACTTTTCTCCCTGACACACACAGGGGTCACCAAGATCCCCCGAGTTCCGGTCAAACACTCACCCGCTCATTTTTCGTTATTTTACTTTCAACCTTGGTGTTTGATCCACGGTGTCAGATATCTTTTCAGCTGAGTAAATGAAACTCAACTATTTATATTCCATTAATTGCGTTTTTCTTCTTTTACAGCTGAATGAGACCAGAAATGTGCCTGTATGTATACAGAAAATCAGGGACGACAAGGACGGCGCAGGAGAGCACAGGGCTCACATCTGTTCTTCACAGGGCACTATGAGTCGTTCTCAACTCCATAGCACCTGAGAGCACCCACAACGTCCGTGTTTATCTGAGCCCTCAGACCTCAGAGTGCTCACGGCTAGCTGGAGAAGCAGAAGAGTAAGCAGATTGTTTTAATACGCTATTAAACAACAACAACATCATACTAAGGGAGCACTGGTGGCCCAGAGGCAAGAAGCTGCGCTGCAATCCCAAAGGCACGTAGTTCAAGGCCACCAGCCGCTCCACAGGAGAAGGATGGGCAATCTCTGAAAAATGTACCAAGAAGTAAAAAACAAGGCTGTCATCATTTCCAAGTGCAGAAACTTCAAGCAGCAGCAGCAGCAGCTACAAAAGCCGTTACTCTGAGCTGGAGTTAAGTAGCAGGAGGCTCAGCTGAGAACTCAGTGTGGCAGCTCCGAGGACAGAGCTGAGGAGACGCTCACAGACACTCAGTGGGGATTTTGTTTCTTTTTTTTTTTCTTTAAATAAATTTCTGTTTTATACATGTTTACTTACAAAGTTCATATACACTGCTGTTCACACTGGATCTACCCATATCCTTTCCCCACCCCTCCCTGAATGTGGATTTTAAATGCTCATATATACAGGACCTTGATTTTCTAAAAAGCATAAAGTGAAAAAAGAAAAACATCAACCCTACATACAGGACCTTGATTTTCTAAAAAGCATAAAGTGAAAAAAGAAAAACATCAACCCACAAACAGGAGTAAGGTCAGAACGGAGGTACAAGGGCCAGAGAAAGGGGCCTCGTCCAGCCAGGAAAGAAAAGGAGAGTGTGGCTGGGACTGCAAGGGAGGGGCCTCAGAGTGACCAGAAGACAGAGGAGGAGAAGTCGGCTGGTGAAATCCGTGCTCTCCACACAGCTCAGCCCCAGCACACCTGCACGGCCACCGGCAAACGCCAGGCTTGTTCCCACTGGGGCGCTGTTGGCTCCCTCTGTTACTAGTGGAGCGGGCGAGGGGCTGAGGCTCCAGGTGGAGCTGTGCGCCAGGCAGGTGGACACAGCCGGGGGCTGAGGGGACGCGTGAGGACTAGTCAGTGACGAGGTGCTGGCCGCAGCCATGGAAACAGAGGAGTCTCCCCAGGGACCATCAGGAAGAGGAGACTGCGTCCGAGGATGGAGCACAGCCACAGAGGAACGGGCTGAGGACAGAGGAACAGAGGGCCAGTCAGAAAGGCGGAAGGGAAACTGATGGGCATCTTATCACAGAAGCTCAGGGAGGAGCCTGAGCGGGAGGGCCAAGTTCTTGTTCTCAGGAGAGGCGAGCGAGGCCAGGGGTGGGAAGGGGACTGGGCTCTGGAACAGACTGCAGCTATGGAGGGAGGTAAAGAGGAGGACGTGTGCACGGAGAATGCACCCCGCTCTCTCTCCTGTCCTCTATGCAGGGCTCACCTGGAAACCTGATCTACCTCAGGGAGTCTAAATGACGGCCGGATTAGCACCGGGTCTTTACCTCAGCCTTCCATGATCCTGGGGCGTCAACCCATAATTTAAGAGCACGTTCAGAAATCTCAAAGCATATTGAAGTAAGTTTCCTCTGAAGTGTATTTTCTATATGAAGGTAAACCCACTGCATCAAAAATCACTTTAACACTGGGGTTAGATGACACCACCTCTCTCAGGCCACTGCTCAGCACTGTCCAGTCAATCCCGAGTCACGGGGGGGACAGACCCTCGAAAGCGGAGACGACCACATGCCTGCCTCACAGCCGTCAGCCAGACCACCAGGACGGGACTAATCCTGTGACTAACATCTCTTTATGTATTAGTTTATAGAGATTCTATGTATTATTTTAGGGACCTCTGGTGGCCCAGCTGGCAGAGAATGCACTGTTAGCAAAAAGGTGGCACCTCTCTGGCAGTGTGACTTCACCAGCTGGCTCAGAGGGAGAAAGATGGGCAATGTCCTCCCGTGTGACTTAACAATCTTGTCAAAACCCGCTGGAGGGTCAGCTATGAGCTGGTTCCCGCTCGAGAGCAGTGAGAGAAACACGGAGAGGTTACAGCTCTTACCTCGAACAGTTTGGTCCACAGCCATGACGAGTTGGTGAAGACCCCGGTGGCGCCGGAGCCCAGAGCTACGTCCATGGCACCTGTGAGACACCGGGCAGGTCAGTGCTCAGTCCAGCTGGTTCTCCTGCTGCTCAGCCCCACACCTTAGCCTTGACCGTGTTTCAATGTTGTGCTCATTGTCATTGTCAAAATGAAGTACAATTCAGAAACCCTGATCCGTCATTAGTCGTCACTGAGTTAACTCTACTCATTATGCAAACGTCAGTGAAAGAGAGGAAGACCGTCAGCCAGACGGACTGGCCCGGTGAAGGCAGCAAGGGGCTCCAGGGTGTCGGGAGACTGTGAGGACGGCACAGGGTTCAGATCTGCTGTTCAGAGTTGCATTCGACCCGAAGGCACTTAGCAACAACATGACCCCACCTGGCGCCTCTGGGAGGGTACGGAACACGCGTTTCAGCAGGCTACTGCTCAGATGCACAACCACTATGTCACCAGAAAGTCCCTACTATTTACAATTTTTATCTTTTTATGTTTGTCAAATCTGAATTCACCATCAATTATTATGGAAAGGGAAGACTGAGAAACGCGACTGCCAAGCTCATAATCTCTTCCAGGGCCCGTCATTACACGTGGTCAGGGTTTTATTCCAGGCCCGTTCGGCGTCTTAAAAACAAAACTTGCTTCTGCTGAGTTGACTCAACTCCCAGTGAGCCTCTCTCAGTCCCTCAGGTCTCCGAGGCAGTAAGTCTTGAAATATGAAAGTGCCCGGTTTTTCTCCTTCAAACGAGGGGTAGACTCAAACCGATGACCTTTCTGTGGGCAACTTGAGAGCCAGCACTCGATGCTACCAGAGCTCCTTCTGCTTCAGTGAGCACTTATTCTCCTCTTTACAAAGAAACGCTTACAAACACTCTTCATGACTTTACACTGGCTCACTGGGTGCACTACTGGGCATCTGGGGTCTCCAATTTCCCCAAATCTTTAACTGTCTTCCCTTACAACTTTTTCTACATGTGTCACACCACTGCTTAGACTTCTTTTGTTTAATTTTCATTTCTATTTCCAGTTAAACATGCATCTTATTTTTTTAAAAAAAAAAATTCCCACGTGTAACAATGAATAAAATAAAAATTTTGTTTTAAAAAAAGTTCTTGTTTTTAAGTATTTTTGTTGTTGTTGTTGTGGAAATCGGGGTTTTTGTGTCCTTTGGCACAGACCAGCTGCATGACAGCAATCAGGTGCAGTAATCAGAGTCTTCCTCAGGTCGTCAGGTGCTCCGGGAGCCTTATGTGGCCCCTGCCAGGCCCCAGCTGTAAGCTCTGTGGCAGAAATCGTATGTGATCTCTAGCCCCAGACCTTGGGCCCAGCCCCCTGCCTCGCGTGTGGAAGCTCAGGAAGTGTCCATGGAAGGAAGCAAGCGAAGCTGACCGTCACCCAGGCATTCACACGGATGATGAATGGAGGCAGACCTCAGTACGAGGACCCCCCTCCCCCCCGGGGAAGGTCAGGAGACACGGTGCTAGTTGAAGGCAACACTGTACGTCAGAGGAACCAGGCGGCCCCCAGGAAGCTGATGAGAACTGATTAACAGCTTCTAGCCGGCGCAGTGACCAAGCTCTTGAAAATGCACCCTTCGTGCTACAACTGGCGCGTAAATACAAAAAGTGCTGGAAAATCAGAGCAGATCCTGCTTCCACTACGGGCCCAACGAGGAATTCTGGAGCTGTTACGGATTTCTCTGTAATTGCTTCTAACTATCAAACAGAAGCCGTCTCCTCAGGTCAGGCTAAGGTGTCCCCTGCATAAGCTGATCTTAGTTCCTTGGCTAAAAGTACACTCTAGAATGTTTTAAAATAGTAAAACTGCTAATCTGAAGTATCTGACAACTGCAAAACAATGCCTTTGGTGAGGCATCTTTGAATGCAGACGGAGAGCGCCAAGTCTGAGCGGAGTAACGCCCGAGAGCAGAGGCCGCCTCACCTGTTAAGGTGGCAGCGTTGAGGATGAGCTTCGGGTTGAAGGTGTGAGCGTAGCAGAGCGCGTCGGCCAGGATGAGCCTCCCCTCAGCGTCAGTGTTGTCCACCTGCGGGCAGGGGACCAGACAGTGTGAGGGACACAGACGTGTACCGGAACGAGGGCCTAGAACACGAGTCCCCACCCCAGAAGAAACCCCTTGTGAACGAGACCTTCCAACTCAGGGTGATCAGGCCGAGTCTCTGCAGAATCAGGTACCTGGTCTTTCTCCCAAAGGTCTACTGACCGTGCACTGTAGGTCGTGGGGTGGGCCCTCTGCCACACGCCCCCAACATGCAGAGCCCATGCATGATGCGGCTGGGGGTTCCCACCTGGCCCCTCAGTGGGAGAGTTAACAGAACACAGGTCCATCCAGCCCACAGTCTCCCCCACCCTCCCAGGCTCTGCAGTCTGGCACTAAAGGACAGTAATGTGCGTGTGTGCGGGTGTCTAAGAAGCAGGAGTCGTCGTCAGTCAACAGGAATCATATTCTAAACCTTCTCATGAGGAAGGCGCTTGGCGCTGTATGAAAAACCACCAAGGAATAAAGATCCCGCACCGCTTCTCCAGGTGTGGTGGGTGCTCTGCACCTGTGCCAGGCCTGCTCCCGGGAGATCACAGGCCCCGAAGGACGGGTGGGGAGTATGAGTGTCTTCCCCTCACACACCTGGATGGTCTTTCCGTTCCTGGCCCGCACCACATCGCCCGGCTTGTTGGCCTTCCCGCTGGGCATATTTTCACAAAGAGGGGCCAAACCTATGAGAAAGGATGAATGAAGAGAATCAAACACGCGGAGTGTCCAGATATGCCCCGCATGGGATGGGGCTCCAAGAACCACCCAAACCACGTCAGACAGATGCCCCCTGATCAGGAGGTCACTCTAACGCCACCAGTGGCAGGGACAACACGCTGACCACCAGCGACTGGAAGCACATGTCATCCACACACACTGCTAATCGTCCACCTTGACCTTAATCAGGAAAGGAACGATCAAATCAATCCAGGCTGTGACGCGTCCCACGACAAGCCCGGGCCCTTCGAAAGCTGGGGATGTCACTGCGGGTGGGGTGTGGTGGGGAGGAAGAGGCAGGGATACAGCTCAGGGTTAGAGAGCGCAGGAGACAGGGCAGCGAGTCGCCGGGTGTGAGCTGACCGAGTCCTAGATTTCAGATTGCAGGAAAGGGGTTTGGGGATGTGTAACACCTGAACTGTGCTACGGTTCTAGCACCCTCAGGATGCCAAATGCCATGGTCATTACATAGATTGTCCTTGCCCTCAGCAGTCACGGACTGACCACTTAGGAGAAAGAGGCTATGATTATGGAAAAAAAGAACACATGTGATAGTTCCTTTTATGTGCTAATTCAGCCAGGCTACAGGCTGGTGCCATGGTTTGGCCAGATGCTTGCCTCGCCATGAAGTTCACTGTTGGGATGCAAGGTGGTGGCATTCATCTGGGAGGTGAGAGGGAGTTTCTCTGGGGCGTGTGCACACTTGCTGTCACTTGACCTACTATTGGTATTAAGGGCTTAGTGCTCCAAATGGCTTTCCTAGCCATTTCCATGACTTCACCATGGGGACGTGCAGGAACATGCACCTAAGGCGTGTTAGCCTGTCCACAAAGGGGACAGGGCCAGCCTCGCCATTAAACTGAGTGGATGCAGCAGCGACAGGAAGAACGTCACCAGCAGAAGAGAAGAGAATGCAAGTGGTTCCTCAGGACTAGAGATTCCCGACCCAGCCTCACCAGGGCTCCGGGAACCACGGCCACAGCAGCCACCGCCGAGAACTGAAGGGAGACCTGACGTGAGATGGAGCGGACCCCGGGCTGGACACGCCACAGACCTGCTGCTTAAAGCCTTTTGCCTACATTTACTGGAGGACTGTGGCAGGGAGGGGCAGTGGCAGGAGTGAGAATTTTCTAACACTGGCCTAACGCTGCGAGGTTCAGGGCTGACGCGCCTGCGCGTCCGTTTCAGAAGCTGTCCTGACTACATTTAACTTTTTAACTTTCCCAATGTGGTTCTGTGTAGTCTGGGAGCTACTGCATTAGAGCTGGACCCCCGTAAAGCAGACTGGTGTGGAGATGGGCAGAAGGAGGTACCAGAGCAGGCCAGACATGTCTGAGCCCGGGGGGAATTGGCTTCAGGTTGCTGATGCTGTTGACGGAGCCAACAGTTCTCTTTGTGACGCTGGTAAAGGTCACATATGGCCGTTCCCATGGCTCTTTTGACATCTACACATCACGGGATATAAACTTGTAGCAGATCCAGCCAGCCACCTCTCCACAATCGCGTGAGACAATTCCTTGAAACAAATCTGTGTGCGTATACGTCTAACTCTCGTTTTCTGTTTCTCCAGGGAACTGTTGTTTGTTGCTGTTAAGTGCCATCGAGTTATAGACGACTCATAGCGACCCTATGAACGAAAGTCCTCGACACCTGCGTGACTTTCAAACTTTCTCCAGGTTCATAGGGTTTCCAGAGACAAGCTATTTAGGGAAGTGGATGCCACTCCTGCTTCCAAGCTTGTTTTAATTAAGGAGCTCTGCAAGAAGTTAAATTAGTCAGAAATGGATCTCACATCTAGCTTCCCTGGGCAACGACTGTTACCAGTCCACGCTTTCTAAAACACAGCGCTGAGCAAGGCTGGGATCTCCCAGCCCTGCGCCTGGAGTCCTTATAGCGCTTCCTGCGTTCACTCTTTCCAGCCCTCCACTGCCTGTGCGTCCCGTCTGCTAGATGACCACAGACAGCCCAGGCAGGCAGGCACCCCTTGGACTGACAGACCCCCTAGGAGAGCACAGCACAACCGCAAACCACTGTTCCCAGAAGGAAATCAAATCTGCTTAGGTCCAGTCCACCGGCTACAAAACACACGTCACCCAGTCAGCTCGGACGGGTGAACACCGGGTTCGGTGCTGGCCTTCTGCCGGATGGAATGTGCACGGGAACCCACATCCGGAGCTCCAGTTCTCTCATTTCACCAACGTCAGAAACTGTCGGCCCTTGGCCTCTGGTCCCACTTACCGATGATGTTAATGGGCAAACTGAGCTTGGCCGCAGACACGATGGCCGAGCAGATGGTCGCGGCTCCCCCCATGTCGGCTCGCATGAGGTCCATGTTGGCGGAAGCCTTGATGGAGATGCCGCCGCTGGGGAAGGGAAGAGGGCAGGGTTAACAAGCAAAGAGCCCGCTACTGCTTCCCACATGTCCGTCAGTCCAGCTCACCACACAAAACCCCTCCGCCTACTGGACAAAGGAACACGACTGTCTAAACTCAGAACCTGGACCAAGTGAAAAAGATGTAGTCTTCTCTGCCTGGATAACCCAGCGGTGCGTAACGCTATTAATACACCTGTATTTTGATGCATGTGTTCTATGTTGTTCTGTTTTTATTCTTCGTTTGGAAAAGGTTATAAAATGCTCTCCCTTCCCCTCCCCGGGGAAAGAACAGCTATTCTAGCTATCTCGTGGGAGAGGGTGTGGCTGGCAGAAAACCCAGCAGGAGAGCTATCTGTGTAGTTTGGCAAACAGTCCTCACAAAATCAATACACCGCTCAAACTCCTTCTGTGTCTTTAACTCCTGACCTGCCACACAAATGCCCTTCTCAGCAAAGGGCATGACTTCATCACACCGTCACTGCGTCTGACGGTCATGAACGGTCAGGAAAGCCAACAAGCTCAGCAGAGGAAGGGCGAGCTCGCACCCTCATAGAAGAACAAAGAACACTTGTCCCTGGCACCTTGACCAGGCGCTACGAAAGTTCTGACCTTCGTGGTACAAAAACCGGGGGCGCTGAACGAGGCTTTGCTTAGCAAGAAGCCTTCCTCCACCACCACTTCCTCCAAAGGGGGTCCTGGCACTGCCCACTGACTTTCCTGCTTCCGTTCCGGTTCATAGAGGAGCGTCCCCTCTGAGGAGTTTGCTTTCCTTACAAACCAGACGATCAGCTCTCACTCCCCGCACAAGCGTGCGGTGGTGAGACAGGTGTCCTTTACAACCACAACTGAAGATCAGCCACTGCCTCAAAATTAGAGAAGAAAGGTGCTCCCCGTCCAGGGAGCCTGGGACCGCCTCTCTAGGGCTAGAACATGTGGGGTTCCTGCGTGCCCCACCACCACATACATCACCTCAAGGCCGCCCCTGGGAGTCTCCGCCCTGTCTGAACAAGTAGAATTCTCAAGAGGCTGCACGTCAAACACCAGCTCTCATCTTGATTCACTTTCAGAACTGCTCCCCAGTCCATTCATTTCTTTTCTACCGCACACAGCCTAGTGGAGGCCAGAGGCACCTTCCTTTGGATGTTTCCTGTCACCTCCTAACAGGTGTCCCCACCTTCGCTGCGTTACCTCCATGGCCAGCACGCTGTCACAAAACCAAACAATCAAGCTCCGTTTAAATGTCAGGAGGCATTTTCTTGGCAGAAAGTGACAAGCAAATTCTAAAACCGAAGTGAAAACGCAAAGATCCTGCTGCTGGGTGTGGAGTCGACTCTGATGTGGGGTGACGCTGACGCATCAGGTTGAAGGAAATGGCTTTTGCCATTTTTGCTATTTTCTGGGCAAATAAATTTTTATAAAGAACGAGGTTTAGAGGTCTCCTCTCTTTGCTCTCAAGTCTACAGTAATCAGGATGCTGGGCTCCGAGGGACTCGTGAAAGATCCCGTCCAGTGCTAGACCCACAGCTACACAGTAAACTGATTTTCAACCAAGATGCCAAGACGGGGACTGGGCAGCCTTTTCAATAAATCGTGCTCACACATACTGATTGTTTTTGCTGACTGCCTTCAAGTCGAGCACGACTCATAGCGACCCTATGAACAAAAGGCCCGAAGCCCCTCTACAACTACCAACATTTATCCAAGTTTACTGAGTTTAGGGAGGCATGTTCCACATTTTAAAAAAACCTCAAACTCGAAGTGGAAGAATATCCCTTGCTCATGGATAGGAAGACTCAATGTTGTCAAAATGGCAATACTACCAAAGGCAATTTACACGTTCAATGCAATCCCAACACAAAATACCAATCCCATTCTTCAACGAGATGCATAAGGCAATCTCCAACTTCATTTGGAATGGAAAGAAGCCCCGAATAAGCAAAGCACTCCTTAAAAACAGAGAAAAGGTAGGAGGCATCTCACTCCGATTTCAAATCCTACTACACTGCCGTGGCAGTTAAGACAGCATGGTACTGGTACAATGACAGACACATAGATCAATGGAATAGAATCGAGAACCCAGAAATCAGTCCATCTATCTATGGTCAACTGATTTTTGACAAGGAGATGAAATCAGTTAGGTGGGGAAATGACAGCCTTTTTAACAAATGGTGTTGGCAAAACTGGAAAACTATCTGCAGAAAAATTAAACAAGATCCCCACCTCACTCCATATACAAAAACCAACTCAAGGTGGATCATGGACCTAGGACTAAAAACAAGGACTATAAACTTCATT